CCTTTTTGGCCTTGCGAATGGTAAACGGAGAGAGAGAGAGAGAGAGAGAGTTGCCTAACTCTATCATGTAAAAACTGTTTTTAGAAAATAGCACTGTGTTTTATCCTGGCTTCATGACTCTCTAACGCTCCTTGAAACCGCTTGTTTTCTGACAATTGGTGATACAGAGAGGGTCTGCATTAAAGGGACCCTCCCACCTTAACATTAGATTTGAGTTGAGATAGCCAAAATGGGGTCCCTGGCTCACAATTACCGGTTTCGGCACTCACAACATCGAGAAATGCCTTAAATCGGAAATATTGAATTTCAAAATTGCAGCATTTTGATTCAGAGGGGCTAATGCTTAGGTATACCCCTCTGAATGTGTGACGTCAGCGCAGATATCTAACGATTTTTAAATGTTTGACTAAAACGTTTTGTAGCACGCGGTGGTATATGCTATTTGCGCGCAACATCTGCCGCAAACGCCGCACTTCTAAAATAAAGTCGCTAGAAACAGCGGAGATCCCAAAAAAGTAAGCAAAAGTAAAAGTCTAATATCTTGAAAACCGGTGAATATTTTTCGGTGAAATTTGGTAGATATTCGTTTTCGCTCTTTCTGAACCGAGCGACATCACTTTCATGCCAATTCATAAACTTTTTTGAAGGTGGGAGGGTCCCTTTAATGTCCAAGTATGGTCATTTAGGATCAATTTTTGGTGCCCTTGTTTTATATTATTCCATCAGCCTTAGTTTGCCCAACTGACATGCGCTGAATTTGTCGCATGTGACGTTACACCTGACGTGCGCCGAAATTTTAGGTGGAACCCTGGTACTACGCCAAACATAAGTTATAGCATGATCACTGCTCAGTTGCGCAGGTTCACCAGAACAGCTTCATGGGTGCAAAATGACCACCGCAGCGCCCGTAAACCCTAATAAACAAACAAGCAAACATCAGTTGCGCAGTTAATGCCAATTTTTACAGTTTTGATTGTCTATTGATATTGTTTGGTCTTTTCAGGACTCGTGGCGCTGCTCGCCTCCTTGCCAATGCGAATGCGTTCTCTGAGGACAACCCGCCCAAGGCTACCATGGCGAAGCCACGCCACCGCGCCGGCTATAGACTCACGGCCTGAAGCGAGTTTGGGCGCGACGGCTGGCGAGCCAAGGCGGCGGAAAGTCGTCTGGCGGAGCTCCCGTCTGAGGCGAGCTTGATCTGGTCAGACAGCTCCGCCACCGATGGTGTGCTAGATGGAGGAGGAGGGGCCACCCCCCCCCCCCCGAACCGCGACATCCGAGAGGTGCGTGTCGCGGCAGGCGCCCTCTGCTCTAGCACGCGCGGCGAGCTATTCGCCCTAAGAGCGGTGTTGGAGGAGCTGGCCGGACGGATGGTACCGGTCGATATGGGTCGACCGCCGTCTATCCCAACGGTAGCGCCGATTGACGTGGGCACTATCTGCAAGGCAGGCGCGCGCGTGACGCTGCGCGCGCCTGGCAGCGGAGCTGGCCGGACGGATGGTACCGGTCGATATGGGTCGACCGCTGTCCTGGCTCCGTCCTGGAGGCCGACCGTGCAGTCGTTATCGACATCCGCCAGTACCTGCTCTGCATCGGCCGCCTCCCGAGGCCGGATGCCCACAATTCAACGACGTGGAGTGCCCTGCTGCCCGATGCCGCGTCTGCCGCGAAGAGGCTGGCACTGCACGGTATGTGCTGCTGCGATGCGTGGCGCTGGCGGCGTTGCGACAAAGAGCCTCGGCAGCTGAACTGCTTCAAGCGACGTAATGATATCTGCCCTCCCCTCCCCTATCGAGCCGCGTGGGTGTGGACGGACCGGTCGGCAGACGCGAGAACCTGCAGCGAAGGAGCTGGGGTCTACGGGGAGTAGCAGGACGAATGGACTGATGAGCCGCGTGTCCCGACCGGTCCATTCTGCTGTTCCAGCTCCAGGACCGGCCGCGCCGTCGCCACCCGTCCGGCGTCAGTGGAGGACCGCTCATCAGCTGTCGATTTTCATCAGTTTCGTTTGGACCACTGGTCGGGCTCCTGCCAGTGCCGACATTGGGTTGGGCGGAGTCCTACCGATGAATGCCGCAAGTGCTGCAACATTGGCTCGGTACATCTCGGTACATTTTCCCGAGTCTGGTGTGGCTACGGGGAGACGGATTTGGTGACCCTGGCTGCCGCCGTGAGAACCATCCAGAACCGTGCGGCTATGCTGCGGCAGCGGCTGAAAGGAACGCAACAACAATAACTACAACAGCAGCTGCTAATGAAAGGGGAAATCATGGAGCCGGATGACCCGGCACATGGCGCTCAGCCAGCTGAGAATGAGAGCAGCTATCAAATCGCCAGCAGGGTGCTGCGGCTGGTAACTGACGACCTTAACAGAGAGAGCGCCTCCGCTGATGCGGATGAAACTACCCCCTCTCGGGTTTGTTTGACGCCGTCTCCGTCGACTCTTTCGCCTGGGCCGGCTGGCGACCGCGACATTTCTTGTGCAGTGACTCGTAACTATGTTCACCAAACTTTTAAAACTCCTCACGTTAGCATCTTTAAAGAATGTTTCCCTTGTACACTGCTGCAATGTCTTATGTAGGCATATTGTAGGTACAGTCTAAACGAGTGTGGAATGCTTTGTTGTGCTTGTTCTGTATTTCGTTTGCTATTTATCACGGTGACTATAATTTATTTTGACCAACCCTTGCCTTGTTGCAATTTTAGTGGATGGTTTCTGAACTGCTGTTTGCATTATAGATGTTGCTAGTGCGTAGACGCCAAAGATTACTTTATACCTATTGACGCGCCAGATAAAGGAGGTGAAGTATTCCTCTGATCTCTACCTACGAAATTCCTTTGTGTGTTTTGTAATCGATATTGGCGGTTTTCTTATGTGATGCGGTGTAGAGCGTGGCTGAGGAAGGCGATGTTTAAAGTTGCTAGTTATTTTTCAATACATCTATGATCGGACTGTCGTGCTTGCTGTAGGTCGGACTTCCGTTCTTGATGGTGATTGGACGCACGTGCCGGTAGTTCACAACAATGCGGCTTTCGATTATAGTATAGATTTAGATGCTTTTAAAGTGTTTGTATACGTAGTCCTGAGTTTCGAGATATTATCCTTGCGGGCTCCTTGCCAACAGATTGTCCACTTCTGTGTCCAGTACTCATCCCACTCACGAGGCTCAGTTGTGTTTGCCAACCCCTATACGGAAACATTGGCCAGATAACTGACTACTACTGAAATTTTAAGAAGCGTGGGCAGTAGGGCATAACGAACGGTCATCAGGTTCAGTAGCCGCGGAGCACCTTCAATTAAGGGGGGGGGGCACCGCCGACTTTTGGTCCCATTCTTTCCATGCAGCGCCCATAGGGCTAATGTTAAAATGCCAAAATCAAAGGGGGACACGGTGCCCCGGTGCCCTCCCCATTCCGCCGCCTATGCTCAGGTTATTTCTGACCTGACAGGCTCAGGGAGGATTGCTCTTTGTTGTTTTTCTCCGATGAACCCTCTTGCTGCACACTGGCTGATCCAAAGGATGGAAGGGACGGGGGGGGGGTGCAGACGTAAGAAAAAAGAAGACAATGTTCTTTCCCTAGCGCACGAAATCAATTCTTAAATGAAAATAAAACGAATAAGCTTCCGTTAAGAAGCCCCCGTTCCGTATCTTCCGTTCCATTCCACGACTCGCACGTTCCAGTGACTTGCTGCAGAAGCGTCATCTATACCTCGCCCTTTCTGCTCGGAAGGCCGCGAGTTGCGACATCTATACTATGTCTAGGCCTGAAATACCTCGGTAGTATTCATCCGCCACGATGTATTTATTTTTGTCAATCGGTTTGGTCCTTCTGGCCGGATAGGTCGTCAGAATTATCTGAAGGTGCCTGAAATGTCTCGTTAGTGGAAAAAATGTCTCGTTAGTGGAATTCCACTATCTGGCAACTAGCCCTATGTAAACGCGGCTACTGACAGGTGGCATCCATGTCTTACGGTTTTCGAAATATCTCGAATTTCGGCTTTGCCCCAACTCCGGCATTGCTTCAACTTCCCCTTGGTACTACCGCGCGTAGATTCTGTATGATACACGACATCGCTTCTATGGCCCTCAGTATCAACAGAGTAGTTTTTCGTGTCGCCGCACCGCGGCTCTCACATCAAGATCAATGCTTTCAAGAAAGACTAAATACAGATGGTTTGTTTGTCATTGTCTCATCTGATTACTGGAAGCCTAGGAATGGATACCTACTTATCATTTGTGTTTCAGATGGAATTAGAAGATTTGTGCGGGGAGCTGGCTGCTCTTCGTGAAGAGGTTGGTGGTTTGAACGGAGAAGTGACCACACTGAAGGGAGACAACGCCACACTGAAGGGAGACAACGCCGTACTGAAGGGGGAAGTGACCACACTGAAGGGAGACAACGCCACACTGAAGGGAGACAACACCACACTGAAGGGAGACAACGCCACACTGAAGGGAGACAACGCCATACTGAAAGGAGACAACACCACACTGCGTCAGGAGGTGGTCCATCTACGTGAAGAGGTGGTCCGCCTGCGACAGGCTGTCCTCGAGGAGCGCACCACTCGCCAGGTCGTCGTGGAGGAGCTGCGGCAGGAGGTCCGCCGGCGAGCAGCGCCCTCCGACCGTTCGCAGATGTGAGACTGAGAGGCAGCAGGGGTGGCACTGGGGGGGGGGGGGGGGCAAAGATAAGGGTAAACATTAGAGGCAGCCGCCTTTGGCTGCAAGGGATGACACTTGGTGTAGACAGTTTGTCGGTAATAGTCAACCCGGTTGTGTAGACAGTTTGTAAGAGTCAACCTGGTTGTGTGGGCATTTTGTTTGTAAGAACCAACCCGGTTGTGTATACAGTTTGTCTGTAAGACACTGGATGGGCTTACCTAGGTGGGGCCATGGTACGGTGCTGTTTCGGTAAAATGAAGACATCTTGAAATTATCGCCTTATGACTGACCATAGATGACGTCTTACTACGTCACTTTGACGTCATTTCACCACAGTGACGGCGAAGAGGTGGTCTCACTGAAGGCCGACACCTGTGACAAGTGTGACGCCACCACCAGTTGTGACGTCACCCCAACTACGGAGGAGGCGGGGCCGGCGTCCGGTGAGCGTAGGCCGCCTGCGGCTTGCGGTACCAACATTTACCACCTTGACTACAAGCTACTGAAGATGGTGCTGAGCAAGATGGACTGCTGGGACATGTTCCGCGCCAGGCGGGGTGAGTGCCCTGGCGACTGGCGAGGTCGTATTTCACAATAACATCCGGGTTGTTGTTATTTTTTCCTTAGCCAACAGACAGTTCAGCAATGGGGAAGCCTGGTCGGAAATCTGAACGTAATATCCCGCGAGTTGCTGGGGGGGGCGTTAAACGCCCCCACTTTTTTCGCCGGGCCATAGCATAAAAACGGCGCGCCGCAGGCGCGCCAAATTTTGGGTACCTGTAGGGAATTGATTGGAGTTTATTGTGACAAAGTTTCAAAAAAATCGGTCGGAAAAATTTTGAGATATCGGGGTTTTAGTGACGTCATGATTTCTGAGTTTTCGACCAAAAACGGCATATGTTCAAAAAATCATATAAAATCACAGAATAGACATACAGACATGCCGTAAACGCCATTAGACTGCCAATACCATGAACAATCAAATGGCTGTCTTCGATTATTGATTATCGTTCCGAATTTTCCAAATTCTTGAACTGAAACTTGGCAATTTCTCGTGACTACTTGACGACCATGATACATGCATTTCTTAAATTGAACTTTTTGAGCCAAACACGTACACATATGATAAAATGAATGTCACCATCGTGTTCTACGCCCCAAATTACCCATAAAACATGTGTCACGGGCTGCGAATATCAGTTTTGATTTTCGGGGATATGTGCCTACCCGGTTGACCTGACCTTGACCCTGACCTATGCTTGACTGACCCCTACATGGAACTGACACTCTTGTAGGCCTTATATGATGGATTGTGCACCGTTTTGACAGAGTTTATGACGAGAGGCGCCCATTGCGAAGTCCTGAAGTCCATGCTACTGAAAGCCCGATTTCAGGTGTTTGACCTGACCTTGACCCGACCTGTGACCTCAAAATTCAACTTTGAAGTACTCATCTGAAGCGTCTCGTCGCGCTCTTTCGTTTGCCGCCTCGTGCGTTTCGCTGCGCCTATTGGTTCTCGAGTTATCGGCTGGGGGCGTTTAACGCCCCCCCCCCCCCAGCAAACGGTGGGTGGCGAAATACCCCAGCAACTGCCGGGATATGGTAGGTAAAGGGCTGCTGGAGACGTGAACGGCCGCCGTACTATGGTTGCCGCCTAGTTGCCAGAAATATAAACTCTGCCGGTTTGTGGACTTTGAGTTTCAGGCTTTCCGTTGACGCCACTTGTTCCTTCTGTTTCGTCGGTGCCAATAGTCTGCCATCGCTGGCGGTCCGCCGTCGACGATATCGTCGGCGACTGTCGGCGGGAACTAACCGATCGGCAAACCCGCGGTGGAGAGGTTCCGGCGCCGGCCACGAGCCTAGAGCTCGTATTGAAGGCACAGGACCAGCCGAAGCTGACTGAACTGCGGGCGCCGACCGCTGAGACGGACACCGACCTCCGACTGGTCGGTGAGTCCCGTGTGAAACGCGCTACACACGAACTGGTAGGGGAGGTTGGGGTAATTTGGCCGCTTTTTTAGAAAACGATATAACTTAAAATTGACGACACACTTCTGCATTTTCTCAACGCTAGCAGGTGCCGCATTCAGTTTACTTTACTGGACAGTGAACTTGAAATGATAGAGTAATTACTTATATTGAAATTGTGACGTATTGCAAAGGTCTGCAAGGCGGCCAAATTGCCCCACTAGCAGGGTTATTTGGCCGGGGGTGTGGGGCAATTTGGCCGGTGTTAATTGCGGTCGGGATTTTCTGTTATATTGCGAGTCTGCTTCAGATTCAGCAATGACGTGTGTCCTATGACGCATTTGCCGCATTTTGGAGGTTGACTCAGGGGTCACAGGGGTCAAAATAGCCAAATTAGCGGCTCTAGATGCGAAGACAGTTTTTTACGAATAACTTTTGAAGTAATCAAGCTAGGCCAAAATTTCGAGTACCACCGTAATTCTCTCGTCAGTCCGCATCGAAAGATATATGTGTTGACCTTGAGAAGTCAAGGTCAAAGGTTGACCTCGGGTCACGTTACATCAGGTCGCTTGACCTCAAGGTCACGTGATTTCAAGGTCATCACGCGTATCATTCGATGCGCCTTGGCGAGCTGAACAGAATGAGACCATTTGTGCGGCTGTACCATTTTTATGCAAGGATTTATTAGCAAAAAACGTTTGGTAACCCTTGATTAGGTCACATGCTCTTACAGTTGACCAATCGGAAGTAAGGCATCAAAGTAGTCAAAGTTGGTCATGAAGCATGTTATTTATCCCGCGCCCCAGTGGCGGTCTCAGCCAACTTCGCCCTAGTGGGGGGGGGGGGGGCATATGTTACCACCCACCTCTAACTCAAAAACTAAGAGGGCTAGAAAGACGCCGCGACTGCTTTTACCGCGTCGGTAAAAAGCAGTCGATAGCTCTCAATGCGTACGTTTGAAAGTATTTCGGTGATTTTTCACCTTAGATCAATATTGGGGTCACCAGAGGTCATCAAAGATCAAAATTTGCCAATTGTCATTATATTTTTCAGAAAGCATGCCGCAATCTCAGGAACTATGGTAGCTAGAATTACGCATAGAAAAGCAATCGATAGCTTTTGAACTCTTCTTTTGAAAAGATCATAATCAATATTGACCTCAGGTCAACAGTTTAGCCTCCAGAGGGCAAAAACTCCAAAAATAGCTATTTTTACGAAAAGTGTTTTTCGACAATAACTTTCGACTACAAAAAGCCACGACATTTCTATTGCCAGAATCGTGTTCCCCTCGCCGAGACGCGTCGAATGAACTATGATTTGACCTTGAAAGGTCAACTTGAAAATTTGACCTCAGGTCAAGGTCATGATCTTACCGGAAAAGGTCATGTTGCATATCAGTCGATGCGTCTCAACAAGACAAACACAATGAGACCATCCCCAGCGTTCTATCTCTTTCCAATCGCGAGTTATTGGCAAAAAACTGTTTGTAGACTCATGTGACCTCGGATGACCTGTCTAGAGGCTATCAGCAAAAATGACACCTTGGTCATCACGAGTGGACTAAATCATTGTGATTCTGAAATATTTAGACTGTTCCGATGCGTACACACGGATCAAGAGGCATTTTCATTTTTCCCCATTGACTTATAATGGAAAGGTCACGCCACTGACCTGACCTTAGGTCACGGATATAAAAAATCCGAGATATACAAATTGTAGGCGCCCATAACAGCATGCAATCCACCAAGTTTAAAACCTTTCTGACAAACACTGCAGGCTGGGCATGATTGCAAACTTTTTTAGGCTTGGTCAGTTAACTTGACCTGGTGACCTGACCTGACATGACCTGGGGTAAAAAATTTCACACATTGTCCAAAATTGGTATACCAAAAGCTACCCCAAGCGGCGCGGTGCTACGCGCCGCGGTTTTTTATTCACACGCAAAAAAAAACGCGACAGGGTGGTAACATATGCCCCCCCCCCCCCCCACTGCACAGTGGGCGATCCGGCCGGTGTAGCCTCGCGAAACCTATCGGCATTCATAACATCCATGTTTTTGAAGCTAGAACCACAATATTTAGGAGCAACCTTCTTGAATATCCAATGAGCATACCTATGTTTTAAATAAGGACTATCTCTTATAGGATTTGTGCTCTGTGGCGAGCTTGCAATTTGCCTAATTGCTGTTCGAATAACGCATGAATACTTTTGAGGGTAGGTCGAAATTTATGACGATATGAGCTGGGTAGGACATTGAAATGGTGTCCTACCTCCATAGAAAATTGCTTCCAAACCAATTTTTATTCAAACGATAATGCCCTACCAATTTATACATATCATGAAACAGCGTAAATCTCGCCCGGGAAGGCCCCATTTCATAACATGACCCAAGCAGCGGGTTTGGTTTTTGGTAAATAGCTTCGCAAAAAATGGCCGCAGAACCACGATTTTGACATCGTCGTGTTCGCCTTGCTCAGGCGCGTCGAATGGTATACTTTTGTTTGGTTGAGGCCACCGTAAGGTCAACCTGGCCTTGACCTCGAGTCAAGGTCAGGTCAGAGGTCTTCAAATCACGAAGTTGGTCGAAGGAGGTCATATCGCATATCATTCGATTCGGCAGGTCTTCCGGAGTCCATTGGTGACCTTGTCGACTCTCTAGCTCAATTTGATTGGGAGTTATTGACGAAAAACTCGTATGACCCTAGTGACGTCATAAATGACGTCATGCAAGGTCAACAATGCAAAAATGCAGCATCAGATCTTGCAAGGAGTGCATGAAGTAACGATTCCATGTATTTGAGACAATTGAATATCATTCCTGGCGCCAAAATAACAGTTTTCATATTTCCCCATTGACTTATAGGTGAGGTCACGTGACCAACCTGACTTTATGTGACATTTAGGAAAAATATGAGATATGCAAGTTGTAAGACCTCTGAAGGACAATAAGTCCTGCAAGTCTCACCTCCCTGTGAAAGTTACTCTGGCACTGAGAGCGTTGCAAGGTTGCGACATCTGAGGATCGTACAGAGGTTCATTTATGACGTCATAGGTCAGTGACCTGACCTGACTTGAAAGTGCGGCTGGTGTCACAAGATCCAGCGTGCAGCAAAGGTCAGGTATGCCAGGTTGCAGCTCTCTATTGCCTTGGTGTTTTGAGCTATCGCGAAAACACCCTTTGGGGCATTTACCACTTGTGCTCAAGTGCACCAAGCCACGGCCAACCTTTAGAAGAAAAAAGTGTCTAGATGCTAGGGCTGCAAGTTGCTGCAAATTTTCACTGGCTCCCCTAATAGATAGTGTCTTAGTGAATGCGATACAGCATTATTTTCAGTTCATCTTCGTAAAACTTTTTTTGCTGGGCTTGGTTAATTCAGTGAACGTAATGTTCAGTGGTAGAAAAAAATATAAAAAGTTAACCTAATTATAAGACATTTTGAACTGATTTTGTCTACTTGCTTTCTATGGCGGAATCGTCTAAACACCTAAATTTCACTTTCCATGCGAAATGGATGCTCAACACCTAGCAATTTCATCGTTCCGCAAAATATTCAAAGAGCGTAAAAATCGGCTGTGATTATCCCCCTTATAAAGTGTTACGGAACGCTGTCTTTAACGATACTTTTGTCTACGAAAAAATGTCTCCTGAGCCATGCAAATGCACTAATCGTAATCTTTGATGAATTTTCTGTCGACTAGTATGCTTTGTTTTCCAATAGGGTTGGGACCTATCTGCATGCTCTGTATGTTTTGGTAAAATAAAAAAGCTCAGAATTTTTAATGATTTAATTTAAAATCACTTTGTTAAAAAAATGCCTAGTTAGTTCAGAAATTAATTATTTGTGGCTGAAATCGACTTGCTTCTGATTGGTCGGGCTAATCATGACGTCACATGTAGGTATATAACTGTCTGTATATTTGGCGCAGTTGAGACATACATTTTCTATGTATTTTCCTATGGTAAATCGGAGTGATTGGTCGTGTTTTCAGTGTCTCTTTATTTTGCGCTGGTATTGCGTGGCTAAGAAGTTTTATCAAGAATGGCATATACTAAAATGTTCCTTTAATAATGGAGCTTCAATATCTGTGAGTTTTATTGGCAAGCGAAAACTGATTTCGCTGTTATTTTATCTGGAAATTACTCATTTTTTTGGGTCAATATTCAAAATATTTTACGGGAACAAGTTGGCACTTTTCTTGATTTTTGCACTCAAATCGCGTGCGATTCAACTGTATTGGAACTTGCAAAGAAGCTTGGTGATTAATTAACTGTGTTGTTATGGCACTGTTTGCAAAGCATGGATAATGAAACTCTGCCAACGACTTAGCTACATAGCAATGCCTCAAGTAATACGCAGGAGGGACAGAATTCAGAGTCCGATCGAGAAGAATCGGTGCAAATGCTACGAAGACCAGGCAGCTCTGAAGGTCGTTCTCCACGGTACATGTTTTGCGCGTTTTAAATGACGTTTTAACGCTTTTTTGATGTTTTGCGAGTTTTTCATGATCCGGCGTTGATCTGTACCATTAAATTACACGGTGCCATCTCCACGGCGGAAGATTTGTCAAAAATCGAAAAACGCGTGGCTTCATAAAATCAAAAAACTGCAAAACTCGTAAAACGCGTCAGTTTGTGTCATGCAAAACTCGTAAAACCTTTAAAAAACGCAAAACTCTCATTTGTAAAAACGCGCGATTTTATCCAAACATTTGGATCGAATGAAAGTTTTCCGGTTTTTGACGAGGCTAAAAAGGTAATCCTTCTGCTATCAATACCATTTTACGGTGAAATGGATGCAATGGAAAGCGTGGAAAGCGATAAAACGCAATTTGATTAAGGCAATGATCATGGCAAGTACTCAGACAACCATACCAATAACTTCTGTTGCTATTCCAACGATGTGGATGTCAAATAATTACATAGTGAGTCTATGGATAACAGATATTACGATATCAGATCATTTCAGATAATTGATAATTAA